ACGCCGGATGAGTGTCCCTCTGCGAATGCTGGTTACAGTGCCAGAGATATGATCCCGTCTATGACAGACAGAACCTTTGTTATTGAAATGTTAGGGCAATGAGGGGCCGGCCTGGGGAAGCTATCTGAGGCTGTTCGATGCTATCTCTCTCACAGTGACATTATACCAAACAATAGGATCTGTGTAGCTCTGAGACGAGCTAATAAAATGCAGATTAGCAAAGTTCACACAATCACCGTGCATACGATTCTGTGTTTGTGCCATTGTTTAGTCTTAGAGCGATTCACTAAGCAGTGAGTTGACAATTGCCTTCTGGGACAAATAGCAGAGTTTAATTTCTTTGTGATGGGCAATGTCCCGGATACACTGGCTCCACTAACAGTCGTACACATCACTCTAACATTAGGAATACCAGTTTAGATTCACCTCAGAAATAGTAAAACAAATATATTTACTCATCTTTCGTTCGTGGCCACAATGGTCTCTGCTCAGCGGTCCTATCGCTCCATCTGTGAGATCATCATTTCAGCCATTCCAATGCTTCCCCATATGGAAACATTGGAAGCCAAGGTCCAGGGCTGGTGCAAGGATTGTTTATCGCACAAGCAAATATACATGTTGCTGCCCACCCCCCACTTCTCACATTCTGCACCCCCTAATTGTGTAGCTCTCACACATATATCATGAGCATGATGGCAAGAGCCAAGAAAATCATGTGTGAAGGTAGTGGGTACTGTGTAGGTGAATATCCCCATATATTATCTTACCTTAATAAACAGATGCAAGACGTTGATGGTGACAAACCGGCCACAGCTTTATTAATCAATAAATATAAAATACGTTACTTATTAAACATACATTAACATAATGTAAACCATAACATTCCAAGTTCCACGCCCTTGTCAACCATTCCTGCTGATCCTGGGCACTTGCCCTATAAACCAACTGGCCTAACATTAACTCTGAGCTAACCACTAGCCTGCCTCTGGCTCAACCCTGATTGACAAGGGACCTTTTCCGCCGAATACTGTGACAAAAGAACACGTTAGAAACAAACACAAACCATAAACCATAACATAAAGCGAGGGCGGGAGGGAAGCTGTTCCAAGCTGGGATTAGTTAAGATGGCTAACCTATTTATATGATAACCACCCCTTACCCAGGACTCCACCCCAAATGCACAGACAAGACCTCACCTGTCCTGATTCTACACTCCCCCTCACTCACACATGTCCCTTATCCTGGCTAGCCTTCGGCCTGCCTTCTCAGGGTCTGCAGTGCCTTCAAACAGGGCTGATTTACTATTAGTGTACAGAGGTTGGGAAGAAGAGCTCTCTATCCTACCAAAAATACACAAAAACAAATATATATATATATAATATTTGGATACTGACACAATTTTTATAATTTTGTCTCCCTACGCTCTCACAATGTAAATGAAACAACCGAGATGCAATTGAAGTGCAGAATTTCAGGGATTTTTTTGTTTTTTTTTAACTTTCTTTTTGTTAACGGTATTTCCATTTTAAGATTGAAACTGATCAACATTAATGAGACATGCAGGTCTCCATGAGAAGTTGCAAGGAGAAATTGATGGAACATTAAAAACTGAAACTCACAGGGTTCCTAAAATGCAATTTAACAGGGGACATTCAGGTCCCATACTTAAGACAACAATATACAAAAGAATTTGCAAAAATATTATATGAAACATTTAGGAATTGCAACCATAATCATATGCAGTCCAATTATTTCAGGGGCTCAAATGTAATTGGACAAATTAACACAATCTTAAATAAAATTTTATTTTTTAATACTTTATTGGGAATCATTTGCAGACAATGACTGCTTGAAGTCTGGAACACATTTGTGGGTCTTTCTGCCTTAAGTTTTGTCTTCAGCAAATGAAATGCATGATTGATCGAGTTGTGATCAAGTGATTGCATGATGCTTTCGCAGTAAATTTTGGGTCATTGTCCATCTGTAAAGTGAAGCGCCCTCTAGTCAACTTCAAGGAATTTGTCTAAATCTAAGCAGACAATATATCCCTATAAACTGTAGAATTATCCGGCTGCTTCTGTCTTCTGTCACATCATCAATGAACAATAGTGACCCAGTGCCATGCATGCCCAGGCCATCACACTGCCACCATATAGTACAAATGGTGTGGTATGCTTTGGATCATGAGCCATTCCAAGCCTCTCAATACTTTCGTCTTCCTATCATTCTGGTGCCGTTTGATATTAGTTTTATTTGTCCAAAGAATGCTGGTCCAGAACTGGGCTGGCTTTTTTAGATGGTTTTTGGCAAAGTTTAATCTGGCATTTCTATTCTTGAGGCTTATGTGGTGAACCGTCTGTATTTGCTCTTGTTACTTGGTAGACTTGGATACTGATATGCCTACCTCCTGTGTTCTTCACTTGGCCGGATATTGCGAAGGGGTTTTCGTTACCATGGAAAGAATCCTACGATCAAGGCCTTTTTGTGTTGCAGAGCTTAGCAGTGCATGTTTTCTCTGAATGTACCAGAATGTACCAAACTATTGATTTGGCCATTTCTAATGTTTCTGCTATCTCTCTGATGGATATTTTTGTTGCAGCCTAAGAATGGGCTGTTTCAATTGCATTGAGAGCTTCTGTGACTGCATGTTGTGGGTCAATATTTTGTGTGGCCACCATTATTTTCCAGCACTGCCTTAACACTTATAGGCATGGAGTTCACCAGAACTTAACAGGTTGCCACTGGAGTCCTTTTCCACTCCTCCATGACGACATCATGTAGCTGGTGGATGTTAGAGACCTTGCGCTCCGCCACCTTCTGTTTGAGGATGCCCCCCAGATGCTCAATAGGGTTTAGGTCAGGAGACATACTTGTCCAGTCCATCACCTTTACCTTCAGCATCTTTAGCAAGGCAGTGGTCGTCTTGGGTGTGTGTTTGGGTTCGTTATCATGTTGGAATACTGGCCTGCAGCCCAGTCTCCGGAGGGAGGGAATAATGCTCTGCTTCAGTATGGCACAGTACATGCTGGCATTCATGGTTTCCTCAAGGAACTGTAGCTCCCCAGAGCCGGCAGCACTCATACAGGCCCAGACCATGACACTCCCAGCACCATGCTTGACTGTAGGCAAGACACACTTGTCTTTGTATTCCTCACCTGGTTGCCGCCACACAGGCTTGATACCATCTGAACCAAATAAGTTTATCTTGGTCTCATTGGACCACAGGACATGGTTCCAGTAATCCATGTCCATAGTCTGCTTGTCTTCATCAAACTGTTTGCGGGCTTTCTTGTGCATCATCTTTAGAAGAGGCTTCCTTCTGGGACTTACATTGTAGCGTCCCAAGGTTAAGTAAAATGAATGCGTCATTCCCAGCTGATATGTATTAAACTTGCAGCCAGACTGGTCTTCAAATAAGAACTCTCACTTTCTAGGGATTTTAATATTATACTTATCTTTATAATTAATAAATATGTATCTGTCAGATGTTAAAATAAAATAAAATGCAGAGATCCACTAACCCAGCCAGCAGAACATACAGAGAAACTTAGCTTCCACTAAGCACTACCTACCCGTTCACCCACCGTGGTTCCTTCTAATTTTATAGCATGTTTCTCCACTTGCTGGAGAGTCAAGCAACTCCACCTTCCTTTACATGTTACCAGTAGCTACAATTATCCTATGATTCTATCTGGCCATCAAATCTAAATTCCCTATGCTACCTCTTGTCTCAGCTCCTACTTTAACCTTTAGATTGTAAGCTTACTGAAAGAGCTTGAGTGACTAGATCTCAGCTCACAAGTAGGGCCCTCTTTATCCTTTGCATTGGTCTGAGTATAGTCTTTCGCCCTAAATGTGCAACACTACAGAATATTTTTGTGCATTATAAATATTTGTAATAATAATAATAATAATAAATCCACACCTTTTTATCCTGCAAGTGGGCGCCTCCATCATAGCTCTCTGTCATCCATTGTTATAAGCTCTGCCTTTTGAATCTGATAGAGAAAGGCTGCAGAGAAGAAGGGTGATAAAACAATGTTTTTATTTCTCCTTTTTATTTACAATGTTTGCCTTGCTTTTGCCTTTTCTAAACTGGATTATGACGTCATTTGCTGCATATTTAATAAAGTTAATAGAAAACAAAGCACCATGATTTTTGGTGGAATATGGCTCTGAACGTAATCCTAATTATTTTTGCAAACATTTGTAGAAATTCCTTCTTTAGAGAATATGACCCTCTCTTCACTTCCACTTAGTTTTATTTATCATCATAAATCTTCCTCTTCTATATTATATGGTCCTATGTGGAGCCACACTTATTCTTATGCAATAGAACTATATTATACTTTCCTGTGTGGAATCTTGCCTATTCTTATAGGTTACTATATCATAGAATTTCAAGATTACAGTTCTGTGCAAAATTCCATCATTCTTAGACATTTTAATAGAAACTCCCTCTCTTTAGGATATGGTTCCAACGTATTAATATACATTGTTTTAGAACTTCCAGCTCTTGGGAGCAAGGTTCTCTGTGGATTGGCTCTCATTCTTATACAACGTAACAGCAGCCTTCATTTTGAAAGGAAGTGGCAACGAAAAACAGTCAACACTTTGGATGACTCCATAAAGCCATTACACCTGTTCTCATTTATCCCAGTACAATTGTTGTATGTGGACCTTGTAAATACTGACCAGGGTCAAGACTCCATATTAAAGTCCCTTTAGTTGCTAATCTCCTCACGTCTTTTGGAGTTATGCGTACATGTAAAGCAGTTTGTAGAAGTAAGTTTCTGTGCTTATCAGGGTGATGACTTCCACTGACGAACTCTGAATAATGCCTGGCTGATTATGCCATTAAAAGGTTATCTCTTTTCTCAGAAGCTACTCTAAGGAGGGGGCCATGTAATGAGCGGAGTCCTTATCTCTTCACTCAGGCCCACACCAGCGGCTTATAAAAGGGCTCTAGCTTCCAGAAGATGCTCAGATTTCTCCCTTATGTTGAATGTATCTTCATTCAAACTCCAGTAACATGCAACGTTTGACTCCAGCCCTCCTCACAATCCTATGGCTTCTAGCGTGGCACGGCGGGACTCAAGCCAGTTCCAGAGTCCCTTCCTTTGGGGTGAAGCTATGTGGGAGAGAGTTCATACGTGCTGTGATTTTCACCTGCGGTGGATCCAGGTGGAGACGAAATGAGGCTCTGCAAACAGGTGAGTGCAGTCCCTTTTAATTTTATTTATGAACGTATCCCTTCAGCACCCACAAAATATTCAACTTAATAAAGTATAAAAAAATACAATTTATATGTTAAGTTTACATGTAATTAAAAAAAAGCTTAAGTAGACTTAAAATATCTGTAACGGTGAATTTCAATCTTCTTGTTCTGAAACTTTTATTTTGGAATCCCAGGTATACGTCCTCCTATTTCCTGATTTGTTTACCAGTTATAAACATGTTATAAAATTTTACAAAGACACGCAATGAGCAGCAATATAGCACTTTTTTTTCTTCTAAATAGGTCTGTGTGGTGCCTAAACTCTAGGGCAATGATGACTCAGTGTTGCACCCACAATATTGCTCAGATATATTTTTCATGATGCTAGGACAGAGTTGACTTGGCATTATGGGAAATGACATCCCTAAGGCAGCATTGTCTTAAATCTACTCAACCATTATACCAAAATGTATTGAGCATAGGAGCATCATCAGGGTACTCCACACAGCTTTGCCTGTTAGTGAATTCAGGAACAATGCTCTAGACGGGTCTTTCACTAAGATGTTTGTTGTTGTGAGAGTAAAATCAACTTACAAAGTTAAGACCATAAAAACAAAGAGAGTTTTGCCAATTGTTGGCTTTGTATCTAATTAATGTACTACTCTTTGTTAACGTGATCAGTGTTTACAGTTGGACCATAATATTGTTGAGTACTGCTTGATTATTTTACAGACAGGTAATGTTACTTACAGTAGCTGATCAGGTGCATGTTATTGGAACCCTGTGGATCTATGAAATCTGTTTATATCTGATAGGAAATTGGGGATTTTTATGAACAGGCGTAGCTTGCAAAGGCAACAAATTACTCATGTACCCCTCATAATAGCCCACTTGTACTCACTTCCATCTAACCAGCCACTCCTTTCATATTATCCCAGCAGTAACCACAATCATTTCTTCTTAGGATGCTTCGGACAAACTCTTACTAACAACCCTCAGCATCAACGCCCTTCCATCTTTGTGTCCTAATCTTTGTTCCGAGTGTCTGTTTCTCTCTCTCCTTTATTTCAACACCTGTATCCCAGTCTCCATCTTAATTTCCCTACACACACCCATAAGCACACCTCTCTAGGATCCCTTCATCCTAGGACCACCTCCCTCATCCTTTAATCTACGTACCTTCAAACACCCAAGCATTTACCCTAGTACCCCTTTTACCCACTAACCACCAAACACTTTATCCTGGGAACCATCTCTCCTCTAGCACCCGATCCCTTTATCTTAAGGCCTCTTTCCCTCAGACATATAACCCTCCAGTACCCACTAATTCATCTTAGAATTCTCTCTCAGTGCCCATGGTTTTGTCTTCGGGCCCTCATCTTCACATCCACCACCAATTCCTTCCATCTTAAGATGTCCTTTCATTTCAGCACCCACTGTCTTCATTTTACTCCAGCCCTGCATTAATGGTCCTCTTTCAACCCCAGCACGCACTGATCCCCAACTGCATAGGTGGTATATCTATTATTATATCCTTAATCATAGGTCAATCTAGCCAGCATCATCCATGGTGCACTGCAGGTGACCAGCAAAGAAACATTAGCAGGAGCAAAGCCCGATTAGTATCAAGATCATCTTGTAACCGTCAAAGCCTTGACGAGATGACCATAACCCTAACAGTGAATGTAAGGAGCACCCACTTATTATTATCACACACACAGCAGGACAAGGCCAAATGCCATTCTAGCCTCCATCCCATTTTACAAAGGTCCCAGAGACCCCTCACAATTTTGAGAGATATATACTACGTAAAATTATTTTACATTGTAAGCTTGTTTGGCCAGGACCCTCTTCACCTACCGTTCCTGTATATCAAGAGTGTTGTGTTAGAATTAATTGTTTGTCCTGCTTTACCTATTGTACAGAGCTGTGGAATATGTGAGCACTATATCACTAATTGTAATTATAATAATTCTCAATTTGTTGTAATTGTCTAAATATTTTTTTATATACGCTTCTGCAGACACACACTTTATCACAAAACACCATTATGCACATGTGGATATTGATAAAAAAATAATAATATATATATATATATATATATATATATATATTGAACTAATTCTGTATGTATAATGTATTATTAATACATTCCACAGTGATGGCTCCACTTTTGGAACTTTTCCCCAGAATTGCTATTTATACATAACAATGGTGATTTCTTAAACTATGGTTCTAGTTGTAGAAGATGGTATAACTTAATGCACGTTAATGCATCATATGTTTTATAACTAATTATATATTCATACTTCAGGTATTAATACTGATTTTCATAGGGAAACTGACATAACTTTACATTACTTTCTGAGATATCTTATTCCCTTAAACCAGTGCTTTTGAAAAAATGTATAAAAGTAAAAAGTACATTCCAGGTTGCAGTTGTTCACTTTTCCATATTTTATTAAAATTAATTATATGGATAACACACAAAAAAAATGCAAAAAAAGACTACTTAACTTTGAAGTTCCTTTATTTATAGAAAATCCCCAACCTGTAGATTTATGTGTCCAATATGGTTAGGGTTATAGGCACACACTAAGCACCAAAACTACTACATCTTAATGTTGTGGTGATGGTGGGAAATATAACATATCCCAACAGTCTGGCAAATGTTTGTGAGAATCTTTACATCTGCAAGAGAACACACATCTAGCGAATGTCAGACTGCCACTAAAAATGTAGACCTTTAAAAATCAAAGGTTTTCATGCCCGGCCTTTTGACATTGAGCGCTGGTAATTTTTGTTGATAGAGAAGCATTGGGATAATTGTCAGAGTGCACATTTGCTGCACATGCAGGTAGGTCACTAGTGTTTTCCCATGAGAAACGTTGGATTGGACCAGAGATCATCAGAATTATCTTACAGCGGATGGAGAATCTTCCACGACAAGACCGGGGCTACGTTTTTTATTTTCACCATAGGGGAAAATCCTAAAAGTTAAAAGGAGGACTCGAGAGTTAGGAGTACCCCAATGTACCCCACAATCTAAATTTGTATAATTACAGTTCAAGGTGCTCTGATGTAATAACACACCAAGCTATTACAGCACTCTGCTCTTATAAATGCCCCTATATTATATTCTTATATTATATCCATATTATTAATGAAACTCGCTATTTTAATATCCACTTATTTAATGTCTCCTGGTCTTCTGTGTACATATTCTCAGAAGGGTCCGTTAACAAAGATTGTTCCTACTTTTCTTAATAATCTGGCATAAACAAATAGAGTCAATGATTCTGCAAAACACATTTAAAGGGATATTCCAAGCACCACAACCACGTCAATGATTGGAAGTGGCTATGGTGTCTCTACTCTCTATGTGTAGCTTTTCGCTTTGGAACAGTGCACATGCAGAGTTTAACCCCTTTGGTTAACTCCACCTCTCGCAACATTATAGTGGTGTCATTAGCCAGTCCTGAGTTTTAGTGCACTCCTGTGAAACAAGCAGAGGCCTCTACCACCTCTGCCTAAACCCAGCCCTCTGAAACAGTCTCTTTGGTAGTGTTTGTGAGCGTCATGAGTGTGTTAGTGTGTAATTTGTAACCCCCTTCTTGCTCTCTTTTTAGGGGACCCAGCAGAGATCTTCGGCAGCCTGGTCCAGAGTGATGTGGAGTCTGAGGAAGAAGACATTTTCAGCGATTGGCAAGGCAGCCTGAGACCTCACCACAGTGAAATAATGGACTATGGAAATCCCCAGAGTTGGAGGGACCCCTCGGGAGGCCGGCGTGGTGCAGCAGCATCTGAGGATGCCCTGAGAGGGGTGGAAAGGAGAGGGAGGGAGGCAGCACTGGGCTTGTCTAACACATGTTGTAAATGGGGGTGTAGTAAGAGTCAGATCAGCTCCTTGTGTTAAAAAAAAAACATTTTGGGGCATGGGGAGTGGGGTGGGCAGGGTCGGTGTTATTGTTTGCTATGAAATAAATAAAAGGATGTGTGTGGCGAGGTTAAGGCAGCACTACAAAACTTTATTATGGCATTAAGGTATGGCTACCGTTAATCAATCAAAATTGTAGTCAAATGACTTCTAAACCACTGCTGATATCTCACCAATAATAACCACCATTTGGCACTCCAGCTGTTGTACGTACCTTTTTTTTTTTTTTTTTTTAATGGGGAGCTATTTGGCTTAGAACATCAGCTGACCTCTCTAGCCAATTAGCTGCGCCCCTGTCTAGTGGCATTCCGTGCTTCCTGTAACTCCATTTCAGAAGCCAGATGCCGCCTGGGGATTTAAAGATTGTCGCTGTAGGCAGCCTTTGGGCTTAAACCATTCGAGAACGTAAGAGAAAGTCTGTGGACCTCCATAACAACTTAATTTAGATTAAGTTGTTATGGTGACCAAAGTTATTCTTCAACCCTTGAAAACCACAACACGTAACACAGTTTGACTGCTTATTCCCCCAGTCATTGCATTGTGCAGGTCCCGACTCCCTACGAATTTATCACTTTGATAAACATTGCAGCAATCAGAAGAGATCACAAACTGTTACTCATGGTTAAGGGAAGACTGATTAAATATCTTTCACAATATTAACCCCTTTGTGACCAAAGCTTGGCCAAGATTCCATGCTTTTAGGACTGAGACAGTTTTGGCACTTTTGTTGTATGTTTGTTCGGCCATAACGTAACACGTATCACTCTCTTTGAGTTCAACCATAGATATTATGGGTGTCAAATATAAAAAAAGTCATTCTGTCCCAAAGTTCTAAAAGTAGATCAGGAACATTCGATTGGTTCCCATGGTGAAACCAAGGAATAGCTCCACCTTGAGAACTTTTGCCCAGATTATACATGACTCCTATATTTATTTATTTATTTATTTATATATTTTTTAACGACACAAATGGCTTTTGTCTGGTATCCCATGTGTTTCCATACCAAAACATGAAATCTGAATAAAACATGAAAAAATAATCACTTATATGGTCAAATTACAGCTATGTTTTTACATTTCTGATTTTCATCAATTGATTTACTATATTTACTTACTTGTTTGCAAATGAGACAATGTGGGCTAATTAATATCAGACATTTGGAATCTTTTCAATTGATCTTTTCATTACCAATTTCTATTGACTTAAAGGAACACTATAGTCACCTAAATTACTTTAGCTAAATAAAGCAGTTTTAGTGTATAGATCATTCCCCTGCAATTTCACTGCTCAATTCACTGTCATTTAGGAGTTAAATCACTTTGTTTCTGTTTATGCAGCCCTAGCCACACCTCCCCTGGCTATGATTGACAGAGCCTGCATGGAAAAAAAAAACTGGTTTCACTTTCAAACAGATGTAATTTACCTTAAATAATTGTATCTCAATCTCTAAATTGAACTTTAATCACATACAGGAGGCTCTTGCAGGGTCTAGCAAGCTATTAACATAGCAGGGGATAAGAAAATCTTAATTAAACAGAACTTGCAATAAAGAAAGCCTAAATAGGGCTCTCTTTACAGGAAGTGTTTATGGAAGGCTGTGCAAGTCACATGCAGGGAGGTGTGACTAGGGTTCATAAACAAAGGGATTTAACTCCTAAATGGCAGAGGATTGAGCAGTGAGGCTGCAGGGGCATGTTCTATACACCAAAACTGCTTCACTAAGCTAACGTTGTTCAGGTCACTATAGTGTCCCTTTAAACAGTACATTATGAAAATATCCCCAGTTTGCTAAGTTGGGATATTTCTCTGATGAATTCAGATGCAGGACACCAAGAAACTAACCCAGAATGTTGCGATAGGAAACTGAGATTGGGATTGTTTCACCAAACTCAGGACCATTAGGAGGTATGGATACATGCTGCAAAACTGCCAATGCCGTGTATACTGATTTAAATCAACTCCTCCTGCTGCCTAGTAATGATATAATCACTGGAACTGCCTGCAGGGGCCTTTAAGACTCACCTTGGCACTGCAGCCGTGTTTGGAATACATGATGCTGGAGACCACACGTCTCATGTTGTTTGACCAGTCCTTCAAACTTGCCATCATGACTTCGGAAAGAATAAATCACGATCCAGGTTTATAGTATTATATCTTACTAACCCTTCACTAACACCTCCCAACAATGTAAGATACAGCGCTATGGAATTTGTTGGTGCTTTATAAATAATAATAATAGTAATAATAAAATGGGCAAGAGGGTAGCATGCCAATGAGGAAAGGTGGATGGACAGTACAAAAAATCGGGTCTTCTAGAGTAGTCTTGCAAACTGGTTTGTGCATCAAGCTGAGTAGATCCCTCAAAATTGCCCTGCTAAAGGTAACATGCATGGTAGGCAATAATTGGTTTTCTTTATTATTAAAAACCTGACATTAACTTAAGACTCCACTCAAATACAGACACAGAATTTATTATATTTAAATTTTGTTGGGCAAATGGCATTTTATTTATTTTTTAATCAAAAAAAGGGTATACAAATGACTTAGAACTGTAATATAAGCTATAATTACACTTATCATTAGAATAAACCATTTAAAACACTTTACTTCCACAGCTTGAAATAGCCAGTCAGTCATATAATAACCTTACCACCCTAAATATATAAGAAACATAAGATAGTATAACATATTAACTATTATAACCTCCCTGCCATACAAAACCACGACAATAGACCAACCCAGGATAACAAAAACAATTATTATTATTATGTTATTACTTATATAGCACCAACAAATTCCATAGCGCTTTACAATGGGTGGACGAACAGACATGTAGTTGTAACCAGACAAGTTGGACACAGAGGAACAGAGGGGTTGAGGGCCCTGCTCAATGAGCTTACATGCTAGAGGGAGTGGGGTAAAGTGACACAAAAGGCAAGGATAGCATGAGACTAATGACCGTTGCAAGAGAGGGATCAGTCAGGAGCTATTGATACGCTTTTATGAAGAAATGGGTTTTTAATGATTTTTTAAAGGAGTGGAGACTGGATGAGCATCTAACGGAGGAGGGAAGCGAATTCCACAGGAACTCGGACAGAAGATAGACGGAAGTATTCAGCAGATCGTAACGGCCTAGACGGGACATACTTGTGTATTAGGGAGGATAGATAGGTGGGAGCAGCATTATGTAGAAATTTGAAAGCAAGAACCAGAATTTTAATTGAGCCCTATATCTTACAGGAAGCCAATGTAGGGACTGACAGAAGGGTGAGAGTTGCGGGCGGACAGGAAGATGAGCCTCGCCCCCGCATTCATTATGGACTGTAACGGCGCAAGTTGGGAGCACGTAAGACAGATGAGCAGCGGATTACAGTAGTCAAGGCGAGAAAGTACAGTGGAATGGACCAGCGCCTTAGTCGCATCTGGCATTAAGTAGGGGCGGATGCGTGCAATAACAGTGTGATAGACAGCGGGGTCCCGGCAGCTCCTTGGCGTCTTCTTTTATCACAGCTCCTAAACCGGGCTCCTGAGGTGATCCGTGAAATATAAAGACACTTTCCCACCGCTATCCTCGCGCCCAAACGCCCCAACCAATTCCTAACTAGCTCCACACTCTCAACTCTGCTACCAAAATACTCAAAATCTGCCCAGCTACAACTAATCAGACTCCGGACAACTCACAGCAAGCTGAACTAATTAATTAATCGTTAATCTGCCACCCTGCATATGCTGCCACAAGTCATAAAACCCGCGACAGTTCATTTTGAGTGGACCAAAGGCATTAACTGATGAACCAGTACTTATTGGGAAATCTAAAAACAGCAGAAAGCTAACCTTGGACAATGTGATGGGGGTCCAAAATCAGGACTGTCCCACTAAACTTGGGATTTTTGGAGGCTATCGGGGTTATTATCAAAATGAGCATTTAATTACAAAGTGTATTTCACATTTAAGGCCACATGAGCCAAACTGAAAGCACATGTGGCTTGGAGTTTTTTTTTTTATAGGTAATCTATTTTGACCTTGTTTGCCTTCATGTGCTTTATAAACTACTAGATACGCTTACATTACATGAATTGCTAGCTCAATTATAATAGTTTATCATTCCTAGTGTTCCAGATCACCTACAAAATGTATAATCAGGTACCTTTCTTTACAGAACAATGTATTTTGTTGAATTAATTTATTTCCTGAAACAATATGTGGGGAAGGTATACGTGACTTGAAACGTGACTTGTCAATAATAATCACAAAAGGACAAATATTAACAGTGTGTAAGTGTGATTGTAGAAATATAAAAACTAATACGCTCACTGATTAGCTAACTGAATCATGACTCATTTTTACCAATCTGCTGCTGTATTTGGGAATGGAGATTCCCAAAATATCACCACAATGTGTATCACCATGTTAGAAAATTAGTTTATACGTTATGTTAACTAGCAAAAACTTCTTCTAAACAATATTTGAAGAAGTATGCTATCATATTGCCCGTGAACTAATCTCACATCTGCAAAAACCCACCAATTGCCACCTACAATTTAACAAAAGCCCTAAAATGGAGAATACCCTTATGATAGCAATATGTCTGCTAAAAGCCTTCCTTGCTTCCCCCAATCTAATTAAAGGTACACTCAAGATTATGTAACACAGTTTAGATTTAAATATTTTTAACACAGATTTTACAAAAAGTGCAGATTTCACTAGAAATTGGCTCTTTTTGTTTTCTTTCAGTTCTTTATTTTTGGCCAGGAATTGCATAACAAAGTGATACAGAATACAGAATTTTACTAATCAGATGGAACAGTAATGAGAATGTTACATGACATTATTTGCAGCATCTCATCTCAAATAAGAAACTTAGTAGTATTCCATTAATCTTCAACGTGAGCTGTTTCATCCACTCTGTTAAATGTGCACTTAACAAATACAAATTTTTAAAATTATTTTTAGGTAGTAGAGAAAGAATATAGAATTGAAGAGTCCCTTGGCTCTGACAGAAGGGATTTCAGTAATCTGGATAAATTCACCTAACCCAGATAATAAGCACATACTCCATCCTTGAGTAGCTAGTTAGAAATACATACGTATGATACTATAAGTATATCCAGGGACAGTAGAGACCAGTAAAGGTATGATAGCACTACGGAATCTGTTGGCGCTATACAAATGGCAATAATAATAATAATAATAATATAGTGATGAAGATTAAGAAGTGTAACCGAGTAAACTTGCAGAAGCCAGACACAGAGAGATGGATGCAGGTTTTCAGGAAGTAAGAGGTCTTTATTAACATACCGATCGGGTCTCAGATGAACTAACGTTCCAAAACAGGTCTGAGGGGCGAACACATGGAGTACATGCTTTTTATAGAACTATAACTCCACCCGCACATTCCCTTAACCAATCGGTGGACAGGATTTGGATTTCCTTATATGGGCAGACCACATGGCTCATCCGAAACAAAGGAGAAAGGAATGTGATTTCAGTTCCTGCATTCCTGCACATGCTCAGTACATTAATGACAGTATCTTAGCTACGTGTAACTAACTAACTGATACAACATACACATATGCCACGTGGAAATCTCGGCCTACTAAATGTACATTTCACCCCATTGATGCCTCTGATACAAAATTATTCCAGATGCATCACCAATCATAGTTTACCAACACCTCTCAAGTAGCCATGAACCAGAACAGACCTTATAAGCATCTTAGCATCATCACAAACTCCTTCAGCATTCCTCATCCTGAATATCTTCTCTTTGGGCTAGGGATTCATATCTATAGACAGCCATTACATGAGCAGCTGTCTTTCTTTCTGTAGTACTCTCTGTGATCCTACGTATAGATCTGACCACTAATGGAATTAGGCAGGGCAGAAAGAGACATAAGAATATAATAAATACTACTCCTCCTACTAATGCCTTAATCCTGCCAAGCTGCTCATACCAACTTCCAAACCAACTACTAGGATTATACCCATTCCAGACCTGAGTAGGTACATGCTTCAGTTTAACCATGTGGCTTGTAAGTTCAGCCACTGCCCGCCCTTTATCATCTATGTGCAAACAACAGCTGCTAAAATTAAACTTTCCGCATACACCTCCCTCTACTGCTAATAGGTAGTCCAGAGCTAATCTATTTTGATAGATGGCTGATCTCATCCGAGTATTTTGCTTAGATAGAAGATTAAGTGCTTGAGCTGTCTCATTAGTGATAATCTCAACCACCGCCTGTAGTCTTATAATACGGTTGAGCATATATATTGGGGTTCTATATCCATAGGTACCATCTTCTGTCCAAGTAGCAGGTCCATAATAATTAATAATGCGTTGGGGAGGCCACTTATCATCTTCCCAGCTACCTATATTCAAGGATGCTCGCTTCTTTTTATGATTTACAACTCCCAAGGTCCCTCCTGTCTCAATTGGCAACAAGAAGAAGGATGGTTTGAGCATACCTAATACACATGCCCCTTCCCAATCTTGTGGTAACTCTGAATATGCTTTCTTACCACAGATCCAATATAAATTCCCTGTTGCTTTCCAATTGGATGTAGCAGATAAGTCAAACCATACCTCTTTTAAATGGGTGTAATTGGCAAATGGATTAGTAGGCTCTGAGACATTTGAAGCTGACCACCAAGTAGTATCTTTAGTATCAGCATTATAGGCATCTGTCCTAGACATGTTAACTCGCCAACAGGTGTGGTATACAATGGCCCTTTCCTGGCTAAACATACATGACCTATAATAGAGGTTTTTAATCGCCACTCTGATTTACCTCTAGTACTTACTTGATGATCAGACTGAGAAAGTATTTGTAGTTCATCTGTCTCAGAACCAGGGTAACATACTTCCTTTGCCACCCATGGCCACTGGTCTCCCATATTAGTATCTCCACATACAAAGCAATTAGTTACATTAAGACTACCCGCAATACTCTCAGCCAAATCAATAAATAGGTTCTTAACATTATGGGGAATTTTATCCTCAACACTCATCTCCTCATAGAAGGAATGAAAAACCTGATGAGTTGGAGTTGCTATCGTCTCAATTTCAAGTCCTACATATATTATGGTCCCTGGATCTACTCCTGTGCCATATATTTGGAACCCAAATAGATTTCCAAACTTATCAATAAAATGTTGTGGATTAGAGATGGTCATATGGACAGGATTACATTCCAAAGACTTACAGTGTGGTGTAGTGGGCAACGATTGGATAATCATATCTTGATCCACTGTTTTTCCCCAGGTCACCTACCCTACACAATATGGACAAAAATTAAAATCCCTTTTTGGGCAATCAGGATCAGTAGATCTCTTACTGGGACATAAATATTTATCATTAAACCCATAAGTTCGTTCCCATTTAAGATTACCACATATATTCCAAGGTTTTCCACTACCAGAGATCGCCTTACATGCATCAAATAGTAGAATGCCCATAGTATAGTATTTATCACAGTCCTATTTATCAAGGTACCCTGGGAGTTACTGTTACGAATTACCAACCAAATTGTACAGGGTTGGAATTGGGGATCAAAACATTTAAGCTCTCCTGATATTGGTTTGCACACACTGTAATCTATATCTAAATATCTACACTTAGATACAGATGCCCTACACTCATACTGTGAGTGCCAAATGAGAGTTTTGGGATATTTGGTTACCTGTTTTCGTAGTCTTAATGCAGCTAACACAACTCTGTATGTCCTCACCTTTACCTTCCTGAAAAAAATCACAAAAATGGCTAAACACATAATATAACATATTATTTCAGAAGTCCTCATTTCTACTCTTCGACCGTGCGACGGCACCTCAGCTTCCCGATTGTGAGGGCTGCAAGGATTGTCGTTCTTCTGATCCTCACTTCTCTTCACAGAGGTCCCTTCGAGACGCTCTGGCTATGACACGTAGGTAGGTGGTCAGGCTTTATTATGGCCGTCAAAACACCTACTTGCTGATGTCTGTTGTTACTTTCAACTAAGATATCCCAATATCTCCTTGTATTATTTCTCACTCCGACTGAGTTACCCACTTTAACTGGATCTTGCAAGGATTTTCAGGATCTGGAATAGCTTGCCAAGAATCTGCCGCTGGTTTAACCCTAGAATGATGAATGCACTGAGTCACTTCTGCCACCTTTACAGCCGTTGGAGTAGATAAAAGAACAACATTAGGACCCTCCACTTTGGACCTAATGGAACAATATTCCATTCTTTTATCCACACTTGATCTCCCGGTTGATAGGAATGAACAGGTGGATATATGTTCACAGGTAACCTATCTTGCACCCATTTCTGTACTTCCTCCATAGTTTTACCCAACTCTACAACCTGCTGCCGAGTAATTCCTTCACCCAACTGATTCAAGTCCCCCCTTATATTACTGACTTTGGGAGGTGGACGCCCATACACGATTTCAAAGGGAGACAGACGCATTCTTCTGGTAGGAGTACTATGTATCCGCAACAGAGCTATTGGCAAAAGGACATTCCACTTGATCTGAGTTTCCTGACACATTTTAGCCAATTGGGTTTTTATCGTTCTGTTCATCCTTTCCACCTTTCCAGAACTCTGAGGTCTATATGCTGTATGAAGCTTCCACTTAATACCAAGCACATGAGTCAATTGTTGTAAACACTGATGGATAAAGGCTGGACCATTGTCTGATCCGATAGACAGAAGTCCATTTCTGGGTATAACTTCTCGCAACAGAAATCGTACAACTTCTCCTGCCTTTTCTGTACGAGTTGGACAAGCTTCTACCCAACCTGAGTAGGTACACACAGCTACCAACAAGTAACGATATCCCCCAGATTTAGGCATTACAGTGTAGTCTATTTGCAAATCTGACATTGGGAGTCCTCCCATATATTGAACTCCAGGGGGTTTGACAGGGCCTAGTCTTGCATTGTTTCGAGCACACAAACCACATCTTCGAACAATAGCTTGAGTAAGATTGGATAATCTTGGTATGTAGAAATGTTTCCTG